ATTATTTGACTTTAAGTTTTCATCTTTCTTGCAACTTATTTGTTAGAATTCTTTGAGGCATATGTTGGAGGTAGCTTTTTTGAAAAAGTGCTTGCTTCTGTGAGAAGGCTAGGCCATTATCAAAGACCAGTTTCTCAAATTCTCAGTTGTGAGTTTTCTGTTCATTCAGGTAGAGCTCAGGACCACTGAATTTACAAATTGAGAATACTATGCTTTATCCTTGAGTTGAGGAAATTGGTAGTGTGTGAATAAAGGCTGCAAACTCTGATGAAGGCTTGTGTTGGTTATGGATTGAGTCTCAAGGAAGTTTTGGGGTTTTTTTGTTTTTGTTTTTTTATTGTTGTTGTTTGGTTGGTTGGTTGGTTGTTTTTTCTGTACTGCATTCAACATCAAGGTTTAAACCAGGCAGTTTTCTTTTTAGTTTTGGGTGGTAGTGGCAGTGGTTGCTGGAAAGGAGAGATGACTTTCTCATTCACCCTTAAAATGAGAATTTAGCATTCTTGAGAGTGGAGTCTTATTAGACTAACTTCTATGCGTGGGCCTTCGGTCTTGCCTCCTATTCTCTGAACCACTCAAGACCTCATAAATTAAATTTTAAGTTCACCTAGATCAGAAGAAACCCTCTGGGTGAAACTACCATTAGTACTAAGCTGTTTGTATTCTTGCTTTCTCTTGGTTGTTGACCTGCATATTTATTTTTGTCTTTCTGTCTTCTTGATATGTCTAGGAAGAATTCTGAAGATCATTTATCTACCATTTAATGTTGTTTTCACTGGGATTTTAGTCCTGGTACTTATTCTGACATATTGAATGTAGTGGTTATAGTATAGGTTTTAAAATGCGACTTACCCAACTTTGCTATCAACTATCTTTGTGATTATGAGCAACTTACTAATCTCTCTGTGCCTCCATCTCTTCACCTATAAAATAATAACAATAAAACTTACTCAAGGGCTTCCCTGTTGGCGCAGTGGTTGAGAGTCTGCCTGCTGATGCAGGGGACATGGGTTCGTGCTCCGGTCTGGAAACATCCCACATGTCGCGGAGTGGCTGGGCCCGTGAGCCATGGCCGCTGGGCCTGCACGTCCGGAGCCTGTGCTCCACAACAGGAGAGGCCACAACAGTGAGAAGCCTGCGTACCGAAAAAAAAAAAAAACTTCTCAAAAGAAAGGATGGCATGAGATTATGTATGAAAAGTATTTACATAGCACCTGGAAAATCATAATAGCTCAATAAAAGTTAGCTCGCCACAGCAGCTATAACATAACATTACACAAATAATGTAAATGGACTTTGTGGTTTAAAGAGCACTTGACAGGTTGTTAACCTGAGACTGACCCAGCCTCAGTCACTGACTTTAAGTGGACCCTCTGCAGTTCAAACCCAGTTGTGCAAGGGTCAACTGCATATAGGTTTTTATTTTAAATCATGTGTTTATTGAAACTGAATAGACAAAGTTAAACTTAATAATCCTTTAAATTGATCATAAGTAGAGTACCTACTGGAATTTTTATCATTCATGTTTTAACTTGTTAGTTTCAACTATACTTGGGAGAGAGGGGGTAGATTTGAAAGACTGCTAATGGTTCTGGCAACTATCCTCATGTGTGTTTTCTGAAATAAGATCTTTTCAGATTCCAAAGAGGATCAAACCTACTCAAAGATTAAAATTTTAAAGTGGAGTCATTACTAACAACATACATATGACAGTAAAGTTTTATATATTTGAAAAAAAAAAAAACCCACAAAAGAAGCAGACTCACAGATATAGAGGACAATCCAGTGGTTACCAGTGGAAAGAGGGAAGGGGAGAGGGGCAATATAGGGGTAAGAGAAAAAAAAATGTGGTTATAATGGGATTATATAAAATCATCTGTGTGAAAGTTTTGAAAATTGTAAAGCACTATAGAATTTAAGAAATCTTTCATTCAATTAAAAAAAAAAGGTCCAGTAAACATGATTTTTTTAAACCCTGTATCTCATTTTTGACAATTTGCTACTAATGTACTAGGGAAAATCATTTAAAAAAGATATTTCTGAGTTACCCAAACTTTTGTATTAAATGATTATTTGTTTCAGGAAAAGTATGTTTAAAAACACCTTAATCTGTTAAGGTAAAATATGGCACTTTGTGGTTATAATAATTTAATAAATTAGGAATAGAGCAAAGTGAAATTACTTGTTTATTGAAATGGAAGTTAATCAGTAAGAACTGTGCAAAGAGGCTTAATATACCAAGCAATCATGATGATTTTACTTTAACTGCCTTTTCTTTTCTAAATGTGATTATGTTGTGTTACAGGGTTTATTTTAAAATATTGAGGTTTAGAATCTTACAACACAAAATTGAGTAGAAGAAGTCAAACAGGAAACAGACCATGTATTATGATTCCATCAATATAAAGTTTAAAAATAAGCATAACTAATCAATGGTGTTAGAAATCAGGATAGTGGTTTCTCTGGCGAACTGGGTATGGCTGGAAGGACATGATGGACGTTCTGGGATGGTGGTAATGTTTGATTTCTTGATGCAGGTGCTGGTCCATTGGATGTGTATATTTTGCAAATTTTTATTGAGCTGTGTATTTATGATTTTTACATTTTTGTGCCAGTTTCTTAAAACTCAATAAAGTTTGCATTAATGGTAAAATGTTTATTTCAGGGGAAATATCTATGTTAATCATAAGTGAAAGGATAATATTCAGCCTAATCTTTGACTGATGCAGCATGTCTTAAATTTGCTCACAGTATATGAAAGAAATATCTTTGATTACTTAATTCAAACTGATTTTAATTTTAGTTGGGAATGTGCTTTTTATTTCTTATTTTATACTTTGTTAAATGAATAAAAACCTGGATTCAGGGCTTCCCTGGTGGCGCAGTGGTTGAGAGTCCGCCTGCCAATGCAGGGGACACGGGTTCGTGCCCCGGTCCAGGAGGATCCCACGTGCTGCGGAGCGGCTGGCCCGTGAGCCATGGCCGCTGGGCCTGCGCGTCTGGAGCCTGTGCTCCGCAATGGGAGAGGCCGCAGCGGTGAGAGGCCCGCGTACAGCAAAAAAAAAAAAAAAACAAACAAAAACCTGGATTCAAAGCTTAAAAATAAACACTTTGATAACTATTTTTCTTTCTTTTTTTTCTCTTTAGTATTAATGTGACCTATGTTGGAATCTAATTACTATTCCTCTAATGCAAAAACTAAGCTCTGCCGTTTATGTAAAACATATGTAACATTTAAAGAGATGAGCTGGTAGCTCGAGCTTGTCCTATTCCAAAGCTGAGAATTTTAATTTATGAATTTCAAGAAATATTTTATGCTGAAGCAAAATATCTGGATTTTTTTTTACTTTAAGTTACCTTGTCTAACAGATAAATTTATCCTGAAATGTCTTAAATGGTTAAGCACATATATAGGATTTAAAGCTAGAGATTCAAACTTATGCTGAATCTCAACACACATTTGCTATTATTTACTATTATTGTCATTATGGGTAGCCCAACTTTACCACTTACTTTGTAGTCTTTGGCTATTTACATTTAATAAAAAATTCACATTTCACTGCCTTGGTCATATTAGCCTCATTTCAAGTGTTCAGTGATCATATGTGGCTAGTGACCACTGCATTGGACAGAGGACATGTAGAGCATTTCCATCATTGCAGAAAATTCTATTGGACAGCACTAATTTATGTAACTAGAATAGTATATTCCTCAGAGAGTTTTAATTTTGTTAAAATTATTTTTGTAGAATTATTAGCATTGTAATGGTAATGGTAAATCATAAATGCTTGATATCTGATATTTAACAATAGTATTTAATAAAATAAGAATAACCAGATAATAAAAATAGTAATTATAATAATTAAAATATAAATGTTACCCATCTAGTATCATGAATAAAGTTACATAGCCTTGTATAAATTCACTAAAACTATCTTATCCACCATTTCACTTTCAAATATTTCACTGTGATATAATTTTCAAATTGGCATTCTGAAGAATTCCCCTGAAGTAGAAACCATAGAGCCAGGCTAATATTATTATGCTCACAGCTTTATTTTTAAAAAAGTATTCTAAGCAACTATTTCTTTTAAAATTCTAAATGTGAAGAAACCTCAGCATGTAGAACATAAGTACCTACAACCAGGAAAAAAATTAATCAGGATACAAGCTGATGAAAAAGGAAGCTGGATTGGTATTCTAACCCTCTCTAATTTTGATATGGCACTAAGTAATTAGGATCTCTTTATATATATATCTAGATTTAGGGCTTCCCTGGTGGCGCAGTGGTTGAGAGTCCAGCTGCCGATGCAGGGGACACAGGTTCGTGCCCCGGTCCAGGAAGATCCCACATGCTGCGGAGCGGCTGGGCCGTGCCCCGGTCCAGGAAGATCCCACATGCCGCGGAGCGGCTGGGCCCGTGAGCCATGGCTGCTGAGCCTGCGCGTCTGTAGCCTGTGCTCCGCAACAGGAGAGACCACAACAGTGAGACGCCCTCGTACCGCAAAAAAAAAAAAAAAAAAGATTTATTGTTTAAAAGATCTGAACACTGTCCTGTTGTCATTTGAGATATTTTAATACATTATTTTTTTCCCTTTAGGAAGTAGGTTAGATCAAAAGCACAATCACATGCTATGCCTATTACACAAGACAATGTTTAGGTAAACAGTTTCATCCTTAAACCATTTTGGATCTCAGCCCAGAGTTGAACCCATGAAACATGCCAATCAAAACACTTGGTTCATCAACTGGACTGAGTTAGTGTCTGTGTCCCTTGTATTCACAGTTTAATAGTCATTATCCTTCTCATAATAGCCATTCAACCCTGTGTACACAAAGTCTATAAATCTATATAACAGCATCTAGAAAAATATAACCTTAGGAGGGCTTTATTGTGTTATTATTACACAAGAAATACAAACTGTCTTACAAACATAAATAAGCCCTTTAATAAAGGTTATTTTTTTCCTGCTTATTTATAACCTGTGTTTTTTCCCTTCTAGGCTACTGATAAAGATACCGGCAATTATAGTGCCATGGCATACAGACTCATAATACCACCAATTAAAGAGGGAAAAGAAGGATTCGTGGTGGAAACATACACAGGACTTATCAAAACGGCTATGTTGTTCCATAATATGAGGAGGTCTTACTTCAAGTTTCAAGTCATTGCAACTGACGACTATGGGAAGGGCCTAAGTGGCAAAGCAGATGTTCTTGTGAGTAGATAAAACTTCAGATAGGTGGGCACATGCAAGTACTAACCAGGGGTCAGTGTTTTAATTCCTAGAACTTTTAAATGTTTGAAATAGGTCTTCCAAAACATGAATGTGATTAATTTTCATCCAGGTTGTTAATATGTATAGTTTAGAATATTAAAAAATACTTTGTTTCTTTTTTTTCCTGACATTTTGGAAATGTACCGTATCATTTTTAAACATGACTGTGACAGCAATGTCTTAAGCACTAGTTTCCTGTTGGGTCTACAGATCTCAATTTTAATATAAAATTGGCTGGAGCTACTTAAAATTTTAAAATGCTTCACAGAGTTGTGCTACAGAAATTAAAATGTGTGAAATTTTTATTACTGTTTACTTTTAGGCCTTTTGTAATTAAGAAAACAAAAGGAAATGTATTAGAGCAAATTCATGTTCCAGCAGAGGTGACTTCCTTGTTTTACCAAAATCCCCACTGATGACATTGGTGATCCTTGACAGAGTTATATTTAGCTTCAGTCAATAATACCACTTTTCTACTCTGACTTTTTCTTAGGCTGTACACAAAGTCAGTGGTGGGTCATTACCAAGGGCAGTCTGATATTGGCATTTATTCAAAATGCTCAACACCAAAGCATTTATCCTATGGAATTGCTACCAACTTTGGAAGTGTGGATTATTTAGACTTTTTTCTGATGAAATTAGTAAAAGTTATAATTATCATTACCATTGGAAATACTTGTCACATAAAGACAAAATCAAGTATAATTTTTCTTTTGCTGTTTATACCTTACTGTATCTTCAGTTTACACTGTTCTCCTAATCTAGTTATCAGGACAATATTAACCATCAAATAGATGCAGACTCAATCAAATATTTTTCTTAGGTAATGGTGAAGACCAATCACCATAATTGTGGTAGAAATGAAGACCAGAACACTCTCATTTATAACAGTAAAGCTGCAATAGAATAAACAAAGGCCAATCCAAGCCAAAATGCTTTTGATATAGAAGATATTAAGGTTGGCATAGATTTTCTGATCAAAATAAGATCTGTAAACCTTATATAAAATAATGTTATTTCTCTTCCTGTTATTTAAGATATGCACATTGTGGTCTTTAAGGCAACATAATAAGGATACTACACTATATAATTAAAATATATAATTAAAATATTACAATAACATAAACAAAACATAACTATAGGTTATATATGTAATATGTACATAAGCAATGTGAAGTTTATAGATTTCTCATTTGGACTCTAAACTATTGTGAGGAAATTTAAAAGTATATCTTTAAAGTTATCCAAAATATATTTAGAAAGATAAAATTTAAGGTAAACATAATGTGATATATTTATTAACCACAATATGTATGTGAGGAACCCTTCCTAGCAAAATGATATTTATTATAAAGTCAGAAATCCTTTCAATCAAGAGAAGGGAGATGTAGAGAAATAAGATTTAAGCAGAGGGAACAACACGTGCCAGAACCAAGAAGGAAGGAAAATCATGACAGTTCTGAATGAATGATAGATATTTACTCAGCTTGGGAGAGTGAGGGACAGAAAGTGAATGAGAGACAGGGCTGGAGATGGAAGTAGGTGGTCCATATATCAATAAAAGATGTAGCCCATATTAAAAATATTAGAACTTTTTCTTAAAATAATGGGAAATCATTGAAGAATTTTTAGTAAAGGTGAGTGAAGATATGATTTTTAATTTAGATAAAACTTCCTTACTTAATGCAAATCTGGTTTCCCCCTGAGGCTGCTACTTCTACTGCTGCCTTCTGAAGCAGTAGCTTTTGTTTGTATTCTTTTCTGTTTTTGTTTGTCACAGACTTCATACTATCCACTGCCAGAGTAGGATCCTCAATGTACAACATCACTGCTTCTAGACCCTCCTTCCTAGGAATCAGCCTTGATTTTCATCATCTGACTGTCACTCGCTGCCTCACTTTATTGCTGGGATCTCCCAAGCCTTGGGTCAATCCCCAACATATCTCAATGAGTTCCCCTCTTGAGTTACTGTTAACTTTCTCCAACAATCCTCCTGTCCTAAGTTTGAACAATTTCATTATATGCAGAGATGATTCTTCCAGTGTTCTGAACTCACAATCTCTTGAATGCCCTTCCTTCAATGGCTTTACTCTCCATCCTACTGCAACCACTTAAAACGTGAGTTATTTTTGCCATTACCACTTACGGCACCCCCTCTGTAACCTCCATTTCAAACCTCCCATTCTTTGACCATCATACTAGGTCTGTTCAGCTAACTCCAGCACTCTTCTATCTCCACTAAGACCTTCAATCTATTTCCTGTTTAGCCTACTATGTTTTCATTTTCCCTCTACCCCTCATGTTTTCTCTTTCCTGCTTGCCAGATTTATAGTGCATTATTAATTATTACAAGCACTCAATCACATAAAAATGCAACTTCCTTGCCCTCTTTCCC